CTCACCCTCATCGACTCAGGCCTGGGGCCGGGTGTGGTGGTGGGTGGGAAGAGTCATGTTTTTTTTTTCTCTCTTTGATTTTGTTTTTCTGTCTCCCTTCCAACCTGTCCCCTTTCCCCATCAAAAAAAGAAAAAGACAAACACAAATAAAATATCTGAGCGGAACTGTACCTTTGGCCCAGGCTGCCTCTGTCTGCTTTGTCCTGCTGCCTAGCCTCCCTGGTATGCCCCCAATCCAGACCCTTGGCCCCCCAGTTCCATGACCTCTTCACCTCCATCTACATTATCTCAACCCCTTTCACTCCTCAGCCTCATCCTCTCTGCCGTCATAGCTTTGTTGCATCATGACCACCACCAGCTTGGGGGTCTGGACCTCTGTGAGCTTTGACATAACTTCTTGGTCCCATGGTTCCCATTTGTGGAGTCCTTAAGAGTCCTTAGGTTCCGGGTCCTTTTGTCCTCATTCCCTGCAGTGTCTCCCAGCCTGTTCCCTATGTGGTTCCCTTCTTTCTGGGAGCTGAATTTCTCCCCTGGCATCAGGCATTATCCTAGAGGGCTGGGGGATGGGACTGGAAACCTTCTACAGTAGGGGGTGGTGCGTTTCTGGGGCCAGGCAGAGAGTATGGGGGCTGTGGAAATGGGATTGGTTGTGGGCTTGGAGTGGGAGCTGAGTGTATAAGGGGCTGGCTGGAATGTGGAGATCTGGCCAGGGTGGCAGCTGCTGGCCCACTGAACTTGTCAGGCCCTTTCTGGCCACTCCTTTACCCCTTTGCCTTATGTGGCCTGAGATAGGGCCACCTATTCTTATCCATTTCTCAGCTTGGTGCTTATCCTCTTTCCCTCCTTCCCACCCAGAGGTGCTGAACCTGGGCCTTCCTCTGTCTTTAGCTGTGTTGCTCTCCTCCATGGGTGTGTTGTGTGACTTGGTTTTCTCACTCCTCTTACACACATTCTGTGTCTGCCCACATGTTTGTATCTCTAGGTCATATTTTCTCTTTGCACGGTCAAAGCCTTTTGTATGCTCTCAGTACTCTAAAGATTTTCAGTTCCCTGTCCATGAATTCTCCTCCTGTTTCTTGTGAATTTCCCACCCAACTCTGTGGACATGCTCTTGGAACCTATCTTGTTTTCTTTGCATCTCTTGCCCATTGAGAATCTTCCTGATCTCTCTGAACACAATCCCATCTCTCCATGTCTGTCTGTATACAGTTCTCCCCACCCCCTCTGTCTAACATGTTTTCTGTTTCTCTCCCTCTCCCTGTCTCTGTTTCTGTCTCCTCTCCTCCTCTCTCTCTTCTCCCCTTCTCCCCTGATTGTTCTTCCTCCTCCTCCTCCTCCTCTTCCTCCTTTTCCTCCTCTTCCTTCTCCTCCTCTCCCTCTCCCCTGCCCCCGTTTCCCCTCGGTCCATCCACTGCATAGTCTAAGGAGCTGCAGATCAAGAAGCAGTTCCAGGAGACGTGTAAGATCCAGACTCGGCAGTACAAGGCTCTTCGGGCACACTTGCTGGAGACCACGCCCAAAGCTCAGCACAAGAGCCTCCTTAAGCGGCTCAAGGAAGAACAGACCCGCAAGCTGGCAATCCTAGCCGAGCAATATGACCAGTCCATCTCAGAGATGCTCAGCTCACAGGCGGTGAGGCCTGGGGTCCAGGGAGGGAGCATGGTGGAGGTTGGCCTCTATTTCCCACTTGGTTGTGGGCAGTGAAAATGGTGGAGGTGGGTGGACAGAGAAGGGGCTTTTTGTTCCAGGGTAACTCAGATAATCTTCCACTGTTAGTATTCTCCACAATGGTTTTATCTCTCTTGAGTATTTTCTTAAGGTTTTGACAAAGCCAGCCTGCCTACTCTACCAAGAACCACCAAGTGGCTGTAATTTTTTCTTGAGCCTGAGTTAATGTGTGAACAGGGAGCAAATCAAAATGCTTGTAGCCCTCAGGCCAATTTTCTCAGACTTCTGGAAGATTTTTTTTTCTTTTATCCTCATCTGAGGACACTTTTAGCATTCATCTTCAGATAGACCAAGAGGGAGAGAGGAAGGAAGAGAGAGAGAGAGAGAGAAACATCAACGTGAGAGACACATCAACTGGTTGCCACCCACACGACCCCAACCAGTGCCAGGGACAAACTGCAACCGAAGCACGTGCCCTTAGCGGGAACCAAACCCAGTTCTCTCTGGACCATGGGCCGACGCTCTAACTGCTGAGCCACACCGGCCGGGGCTTCTGGAAGATTTTGAAGGTTGCTGTTCTAAAAGTGATTACACATAAATAACACTGCAATGGGCCACTTAAAATATACACACGTATAAAAAGTAACACTATTTGTTGCCATTTTTTCACCCAATCCTACCTCTCAGAGGTAACAGTTATTAATAATTCATTGTACTAGATTTTTCCTATGCATATTTGAAAAGCTACTTTTAAACAAGAATGGAATCATACTTTACATACTGTTCATTAACTTCTTTTCCACCTAATATTTCTTGGACATCTTCTCATGTCAGTACACATATCTCATTTTTTTAACAGCATAGAATTTTCTATGGTATGGATATACCATAATTTATTTAACCCATCCCTTATTGGTGGACATTTAGGTTGTTTCCAGTATTTTGCTATTACAACGCTTCAGTGAACACCTCCGAGCACATGTGCAAGTATACCTTGGGGATAAATTCCTGGAAGTGTAATTGCTGTGTCACAGGGTATGACGACCTTTCATTTTGGTAGATGTTGACACTGGCTGCTTCTTGAAACTTTAGGGCCCAGGCCTACCTGGGGCAGGGGAGGATTGTGGGGGTTGGGGAGGAGGCCCCTAAAACTAGTTCTTCCTATTCTCCAGCTGCGGCTTGATGAGACCCAAGAGGCAGAGTTTCAGGCCCTTCGACAGCAGCTTCAACAGGAACTGGAGCTGCTCAATGCTTATCAGAGTAAGATCAAGATCCGCACAGAGAGTCAACACGAGAGGGAGTTGCGAGAGCTGGAGCAGAGAGTAGCTCTGAGGCGGGCACTGCTGGAGCAGCGGGTAAGAGGGCTTGGCCTCCAGGATGGGGTGGGGAGGACAGTCCTCCTGCCCTCACTAGACTCTCTAATCTCTATTCTGGGTGTCCCAGGTGGAAGAGGAGCTGCTGGCCCTGCAAACAGGGCGTTCCGAGCGAATCCGGAGTTTGCTTGAGCGGCAGGCCCGTGAGATCGAGGCTTTCGATGCTGAGAGCATGAGGCTGGGTTTCTCCAGTATGGCTCTGGGGGGCATCCCAGCCGAGGCTGCTGCCCAGGGCTATCCCGCTCCGCCCCCTGCCCCTGCCTGGCCCTCCCGCCCTGTTCCCCGTTCAGGGGCACACTGGAGCCATGGCCCTCCTCCACCTGGCATGCCCCCCCCAGCCTGGCGTCAGCCCTCTCTGCTGGCTCCCCCCGGCCCCCCAAACTGGCTGGGGCCCCCAGCACAGAGTGGGACACCCCGTGGTGGAGCCCTGCTACTGCTAAGAAACAGCCCCCAACCCCTGCGACGGGCAGCCTCGGGGGGCAGTGGCAATGACAATGTGGGCCCACCTGCTGCCGCTGTGCCTGGGCCTCTGAGCCGCAGCACCAGTGTTGCTTCCCACATCCTCAATGGTTCCTCCCACTTCTATTCCTGAAGTACAAGGTGGATAAGCAAATGAAGGGGCAGGGGTGGGTGGAGCCTGATCCTGGAGGGCTGTGAGCTTGAGGCCCACCTAAGGGTGGGGGACAGGATGTTGGTTCCAGCTCCCCTCAAACCTCCTCATCTCATGAGCTTCTTGGGCTGGCCAGTGGCCCAGGGTCAGCTTGGGCATAGGTGCCTCCAGGCTGACTAGGAGCCCCTGCCTCCCCACCATGGTGCCAGGGTCTCTCTCCATCACAGCCTCGGAAAAGGAGGGAGATATGTGTGTCAAATATTCATCTAGTCCCCTGGGGGAGGGGAAGGGTGGGTCTAGATATATTATATTCAGAGAACTATACTACCCCCTGCAATGGGGTCATGGATTGGGGACACGGGCCCCCCAGACCTGGGATGTGGCAGAGCAAGTCTAGGGTCTAGGTTGGGGAGTAAAGGAGGAAAAAAAGCCTTCCTAGGAAGACAGATCAGGATGGGGTCTTGGGGTCAGGATGCCTGGGTTTCTCCATTCCCCCGTTGCCGTCTGACGTCCTGTGCCGTCTTGTCTTTTTTCTTTTTTTTAAATTGAGATCAGAGCTGGGGCAGGGGAACAAGGGAAGGACCTTGGAAGGGGCTGCTCCCAGGTCTGGGGGCAGTCATGGGAGCCCCTCCCAGCTACGGGGCTGGCACAGAGCCCCATGGCAAGCTTTTAATAAACTGTTGGTTATTCTAACAGACCCCAGGACTCATGCTTTCTAAAGTATGTAGTAAGGACTGTTCAGTGGCAGGTGATAGTGTTACTTGTATTTAAAGAGTATTGAGCTGTGGTTTTAATGACTTCAAGCATGACTGGATCGAGCCTCTCCTTCCCTTTGCTTTGGCTTCAAAGATTTTTAGAAGGTTCACTTCATGCTCAGGCTCCTGGCATCTCCAGCAACCTCAACAGCAAAAATCCCAGCAAAGTCCTTAAGTGACCTGATTGGCTCCATCTGTAGCCAGAAGCCTGGGATGGTGCTGATTGGTAAGGTGTAGGTCCCCTTTAATGCTGAGAGTTGGCTCATGGACCAAGTGGCTGTTTTCATAAGGGGGAAGGAAGACATAAACACCAGCTGTCCCCAAGTTATTTCATTTTGTGTTTCACACTCTTAAGGACAATATTGGAGATGAGCCTTCCAACTAGGCAGGAGGACCAGAGAGAGGCACGCTGGGCTGACTGGAGGAAGGACAGGAGCCACTCTCCTCTGATGGAGTCTGGTGGCATCCTGGATGGCAGGGTCTAGAAGTTGGGGCTTTGGAGAACTTGAGGGAAATTAGAGGGAACCAGACTGGGGGTGGGTGGGAGGAAAGTGGCGACTTCTTAGCTTCCTGGCCAAAAGTACAAGGGGGTAAGAGTGGGGGGCTAGTTTTGATGAGGTGATTCAAACATTCCTTTATTGAGTCTTAAAAAAAAACCACTATAAGAACTTTAAACTGAGAAGGTGAAGCTGAGAAGTAGTATCCCAACAACTGTTTCCCTGGGGGGTTCAAGTATTTGAAGAAAACTGTTTCTGCTCTGCAGGCACAGAGTTGGGGTTGATTGGGGGGGTGCTATATATATGTGCTTTCTACAAGTGTGTAAAGTCCCTCCTGGTAGATGGGGGAGCTCAGTTACTCTCGCCATCACTGCTAATGATGCCACGCATATGTGACCAGTCTGGGCGTGGGGGACGGTGCCACTCTTCCTCTGAGTCCAGGGTCCGTCGGTATAGCTCCCCAGGGGTGGCTGCTTCTGAAGGGTTCCAAGCTGTGCGTCTGCGTGGCCGACCTGGTGGGGGTAGGGGGGAGTAAGTTAGTTGTCCGAAAAAGTCCAAACCTCATCTGTTCCTGGGGAGTGAGAAGAAACCCCTCACCTGAATAGCTGATAATGTTAGTAACGTCCAAGGAAGCCACTTCGGCTGCCTCCTCACGCTGCTCCTTCAGAGCCCGACACTTCTCTAAAGAAGGGTTACCTGGGGCAGAAGAGGCTTGTGACCCTCTCTTCCCCAGCAGCCAAGGACCTCCTGCAGCCCTCAGGGAACATCCGGCCTAACCCTTCATGCCCAGAGCTTCCAGCTCTGCCCGGAGGACACACAGGCGCTCCTTGCGTGAGCGGCAGGAGCCCAGCAGCTTCTTGTAGTTGCGATAGGCACCACAGGCCCGGATGTAGCGCTTTAGTCTCATCACAGCAGGGTGGTCCTCATCACGATGACCAGCCTGGCAAGGAAAGACGACAGCTGTAAGCCAGACCTTCTAGGCTTCAGTCTGGGTCTCCCTCTTCCCTTAATTGTGGCCTCCCACCCCATCTTCACTCTTACCTTCCTGCCTTTGGGTTCCGGACTGCCATTCGCAGAAGAGGAAGAAGAGCTTCGTGTCCTGCTTTTCTTGGAGCTCTTCCTGTAAGGGCGGTTCTTCCTCTCCCCCTTGGGGGTCCCCCCTGCCTCACTGTCACTCACCTCCCTCTCAGAGTCACTTGCCTCACCATTGACTGTCTGTCTACTTTCAACTCTGGCTGTCTTTCCCATGCCTTTAGTAGCTGCTTTCAACTTCCTCCAGCTGTCTTCTTTGTCCTCCTCACTGCTTCCACTCTGCCTTTTGTCACCATTCCACTGTGTCCTGTCCTTACTCTTCCTCTGCACTAGGGGCTCTTCCTCTCCCCCACTGTTATCTCCACTGCCTGCTGCTGCTTTTTCTTTTTCTACCTCTCTGTACCCCACGTCTCCCAACACTTTTGCTGCCCTGCTTTTCTGCTTACTGCTCCCCTCCTCCCAGGCCGACTTTTTCCCTCCATTTTGTGGAGCTGTGGGTTTCCAATCCTTTTTCTCTCTCTTCTCTTTCTTGGCTAGGGTCTCTTCCCCCTCACTTTCCTTTTCATTTTCCTGGTGTCTTTTAGCTCCTTTGTTTTCTGTTCTCTGGGCAGGTTCCTCCTCACTGTCCTCTCTCTCCTCCATTGCCTGCTTCTTACTGGCTGAAACCTTGCCTGGTGCCTGCTTGTTCTTAATTGTGGCCTCCCACCGCATGGTCATCCTCACAGGCAGGAAGCCTTTGGGTTCCGGGCTGCCATTTGCAGAAGAGGAGGAAGAGCTTCGTGTCCTGCTTTTCTTGGAGCTCTTCCTGTAAGAGCGGTTCTTCTCCCCCTCGGGGGTCCCCACCGCCTCACTGTCACTCACCTCCCTCTCAGAGTCACTTGCCTCACCATTGGCTGTCTTTCCATTTTCCATTTTGGCTGACTTTCCCATGCCTTCAGTAGTTGCTTTCAACCTCTTCCTGCTGTCTTCCCTGTCGTCCTCACTGCTTCCACTCTGCCTTTTACCACCCTTCCACTGGGTCTGGTCTCTTGGCACAGGTTTCTTCCTAGTCCTGCCTTTGGACTCCTGTTCCTCATCCTCCTCTTCCTCACTGCTCTCTTTCCAAACCTTACTTGTCCTAGCAGAGTTCTCCTCCTCCTCAAAGCTCTCCTTCACTTCTTCCTTCTCTAATGCAACCTTTGCAGTAAGGTCCCTCTGCTGTTCTTCCTCATCGCTGCTCTCAACTGCTTTTTTTGAGTCTCGCTTTGGACCCTCCACCGACAGACTGATGACTGCTGCCCTCCCATTCTTTGCTGTCTGGCTGAAGCAGTCTGGACTGGAGGCTGCAGCGCTGGGCTCTGGAATGTGGAGAGGAGAAGGTTGGGACAGGCTCCTCCTGGCCCTTTCCCTCCACTTGGCTTAGGTTGCCTCAAACCCTGCTCTGACAGATGAAGGGAGCGACAGTAAGAAACAGCTATCAGTACACCCTGTTCCTGGTTCCTGACTCACTGGCCTCATGACCTCTTCCAGTGCCTTGGGACATAATACATGCACAGTAAATACTTTTTGAATGAACCAGCTATGCAGAAGGCACTAACCTGACTCCAAATTCAAACCGAACCTTTTTCTCTGTGGGTCACTGCGAGGGGTGGGAGGCCTCTTTGCCTTCTTGGCAAGGTGTAGCCCTTCTTTGACACTCGCTTCATCCACCTGTGTGTGCATCAAGAGGGCAAAACGCGTTATAAAGATGGTCTGCCACACCCCTCTCACGCCCCTACCGCTCGGCAACGAACCCTGCCGCCCACGGCGGGGGCTCAGCGCCCACACCTGCATCCTCAGCAGTTCCTCCTCCACTAGCCGTTTCAGTGCCTGCTTCTCCTTGGGATCCAGGTGGCCGCGGCCGGTGTGAGCCAAGAACCGCCGCCGCACGATGGAGTGCGTGAGCGTGCTGCGGGGACATGTGTCAAGGCAGAGTCCTCGTCCCGCCCCTGCCCTTTCCAACCCCAACCTCGACCTCCAGTGCACCTGAGGTCCGGACGGCCTCGGAAAAAGCTGCGGGTGAACTCCTGCATCTCGCTCTCCCGCGCCATTTTGCTCTAAATGGGATCCGTGGTTCCCGCCTTTTTTTCCCCTCGGCCTCCGTTACAGCGTTTGACGAGCTTGCGTACGCGCAGAGTGGCGCCGTGAGGTGAGGGGCCGTTGGGCGTCGGTCGCGGGCTGCTTGGACCGAGGACTTTGCCGGACAGAACTTGCTTTCCCCGGCAGTTGGAGGGTCTCGCGGCTCCTTTTTCTTAGAACCAACCGTTTTTTTAAAAAAATTCTCGTTAGAAACTGATTTGGAGCCGCGACCGTTGGGTGTAACGTAATCAATCTGCGACGCTGCCTCCATCCGTGGTCACGGGCCAGCTAGGCCGCTGTGACTTAGAAAGACAGAAGAAAATGGACATCTCTCCTGATAATTAGGAATCCCCGGGGGAAGACTCGTGGCTTCCGATCGCTGAGCACATTTAGAATCAGTAAGGACGCCCTCCAGCGTCCGCCATCTTTGTGATGTCACCTCGCGGCGACACCATCTTCAGCGTAGCCTCTCGAAGCAACGTTTCTTTGCTGGTATTCCCTGAGAAGGCAGCCAGTGTGGGAACGATCGCTGGGCGCGGGGTACGCCGGGAGTTGTAGTCCCAGCGGACGCAGTGTTACCTAGTCTCCGGAAGTGGAGGCGTGAGAGGCGGGGCTGAGCCGTCTCAGGGTAGCGGGACTCCAGCGCTGGGGCACTGCTCCCCGGGCCGGTCATGAACGGGCCGGCGGACGGCGAAGTGGACTACAAGAAGAAATACCGGAACCTGAAGCGGAAGCTCAAGTTCCTCATCTATGTGAGTGATGGGGTGGGAAGGTGGGGGGGTGAGGCCTCTCGCTGGTAGGACTTCAGTTTACCCACGAATAAAGGGAGTGGGTTGAGCTGTCGCCTGGTTCCGGCCCCTGTATGGACCACTGTCGGCTCAGCGCGCACCTTGACTGTGATACAGGAACACGAGTGCTTTCAGGAGGAACTGAGGAAGGCACAGAGGAAATTGCTGAAGGTGTCCCGGGACAAGAGGTGAGACACGCTGAGTGGGAGAAGGGAGGCCTGCGGGTAATAAGGCTCCTATGGATCTACATATTCGGACCCCATCCGGGAATGGGGCCACAAATGCATGGTGCCTGTCTTGGGGCTGTTGCTAGGATCCAGCAGGCCAACTAGAAGGGAGAAGGGCTCAGGAGAACATTGCTGAGGTGGGAATAAATACTTGTTTTCTGGCCTCTTTCCTCAGTTTCCTTCTAGATCGTCTTCTGCAGTACGAGAACGTGGATGAAGACTCTTCTGGTGAGCATGAAAACATTGGTGGAGGACATGGTTCCTGGCACTTCAACAAGCTTCCTGGGCCCCTCCTTTTAGGCTGTGGAGGCTGATACAGCGTCCAGTGATTATTAAGCCTTGTTGCTTGTCCTCCACCTCTGCCATTCTTTCACTCAAGTATTTATTGAACATCTACTGTGTTTCAGGCACTGTCCTTTGCACAGGAGATACTGTGGTGACCAAAATGGATGAAGTCTCTTGGAATTTGTATTCTAGTTGGGGATAATACGTAAGCAAGAAATGAGAATGTTAGATTTGAAAGTAATAAAATCAAGATTATGTGGTAGTGATTGGGGTAGAGCAGGGATTGATAAACTTTTTTTCTAAAGGCCCAGATAACAAATATTTTAGGCTTTGCATAACCTGCAGTCTTTGTCACAACTACTGAGTTGAGTTGTAGTGCAAAAGCAGACAAAGGTGACATATAAATAAATGAGCAAGGCTGTGTTTCAGTAAAACTTACTTTATGGACAATGAAATTTGAATTTCACATAATTTGCACATCATAAAACATTTTTCTTTTATTTTTTTCCCCTCAACCATTTAAAAATTTAAAAGCCACTTTTAGTTGCAGACCATATAAAAGCAGATGACAGGCAATGTCTCAATAGTTCGCATGAAAGGCCTTTTTTAGGAAGTAATGTTTAAGCTAGCATCTAGATAAGAAGAAAAAAAACAGTTTTAGAAGATATGAATGACAGATGTCCAGACAGTGAGAATAACAAAATGCAAATATTCTGAAATAACAGACAATCAGGTTGTCTGAAGAGCAGAAGATCTGAAGCATATGCAATAGTATTTTCAAACTTTTTATGAGCACTATTTACAATCTATTTTACATCACAAACAAGTCCCTACTTAAATATTTATTTATGAGACAAAAAAAACTTTAAACAATGTTTTTATTGATTGTTTTAGAGAGAGAGGAAGGAAGAGAGAGCTAGAAACAGATGTGAAAGAGAAACATTAGCAGCTGCCTCCGGCGGTACGCCCCCAACTGGGGATCAAGCTCATAACCTGGGCATATGTCCTGACCAGGAATCAAACCAGGACTTCTCAGTCCATGGGAGGATGCTCAATCCACTGAGTCATACCAGCTGTGCATAAAACAACATTTTTTAAAAATATGTTTTTGCTGACTTTTAGGAGAGGAAGATAGTGATAGGAACATCAATGTGAGAGAGATACATTGATCGGCTGACTCCTGCATGCTCCCCACTGGGGATCAAGCCCACAACCCAGGCATGTGCCCTGACCAGGAATCGAACCAGGACTTCTCAGTCCATGGGAAGATGCTCAGTCCACTGAGCCACACTGGCCGGGCCATAAAACAAAATTTAATGGAATAATGTTAAGATCACTATACACAGTTTTTCTGTTTTTATTTTATTTTTCATTGAATGCTAGTTGCAAACCAATAAGTTGATTTCATGACCTACTAATGAGTTGAGACCCACAGTTTGAAAAAGTCTTACTGTTGGCATTTGTGCCCCTGTTCCAGAGTGTGACCCTCAGAAGCCATGTCATATACAATCACCTCTCTCTGTGGTACCTTTAAACATTGGTCTAGAGCAGGGTCAGCAGATAACATTCAGCCATGCTGTTTGTTTTTGTAAATAATGTCTTATTGGAACACACACCACCATTCATTTACATATTATAGGAGGCTAGTAGATGATAAATGAGGTCAGAGAAGTAGATAGAAGCCAGCTCATGTAGGTCATGACGAAATGTTTAGCTTTTGTTCTGGCTTCTCATTGCCTGCTTGTTCTTTTCCTGAGGTAGTCCAGTTAACTGCTTGTTTGAGGGGGGTTTCAGGATAGGAAGCATGAGAAAACCAGCATGTTCATGATCAGAGTATGATAAATCTGAGGATCAAGAGCTAGACATGTAAGCCACCACTTGTATCCTGGTATCCCATACTAGTCAGGGAAATACCCACATATGACACATTTTAGCATGGTGTAAGGAGAACCATGACAAGTGGGAATAGAGTTCTGAAAGAGCCAACAATTAACTGGGCCTGAAGGATTTTGGAAGACCTCCAAGAGGTGGAATTAAATTGTGCTGTTTTTTTTTTTATCTTAATCGGAGGACATTTTTCCATTTTTTGTTCATACAGGGCAGGAGGGAGAGAGAGGAAGAGACAGAAAGAGAAACATCGACATGAAAGGGACACATCAAGTGGTTGCCACCCACATGACCCAACCAGGGCCGGGGACAAACTGCAACCGAGGTACGCGCCCTTAGCGGGAACTGAACCTAGGTCTCTGGACCGCAGGCCAATGCTCTAACTGCTGAGCCAAACCGGCCAGGGCCAATTGTGCTGGGTTTTTTTTCTTTTTCAGTTATATTTGACATACAATATTATATTAGTTTCAGGTATACAATAGTGATTAGACGTGTATATATGTTTTTTTTCTGTATTGATTTCAGAGAGAGAAGAAGGGAGAGAGAGAGAGACATTGATGAGAGAGAACATTGATTGACACTGGGGATCAGGCCCACAACCTGGGCCTGTGCCCTGACCAGGAATCGAACTGGCAACCTCTTGGTGCATGGGTAAACACCCAACCACTGAGCCACACTGGCCGGGCTAGACATGTATATTAATTTGCTTCTTAAAAGATATATCTGAGCCAAGAAATTGAGAAAGGCACATATCACATGTAGCAGTTATTCGTCAAATAAATGATAGAGCTTCTAGGAGTCACAGAACTGGGAAATAAATAATTTTTGAGGAAACTGGCATGATGTGAAAAGTACAGTTTGGTTGGGAGATCAGAAGGGTAGACTAAGCATTTCAGATGTGATCAGGTTTATATTTTAGGTCATCTGGAGTTGAAGTGGACAGTGTGCTGCAGGAGAGGTGAGATTACTTAGGTGATTTTGACACCACAAGGCAGTTGGAATGGGGAGCAGTGGATAAAGGTAGGAGAAATTTGAGAGAGAGATTAACAGGACTCTGGATGTAGGGAGTAGAGCAGAGGCAGGAGCGGAAAGCAGCTTAGAGGTGAATAAGGAATGAGTGGTGTAAAATGGTCAAGGAGTCAGAGACCTGGGTTCAAGTCTAGCCCCATACCTTACTGTCAGCCTCAGTGACTTTATGGAAAGTGGAGGTGAGGCCCTCACCTTCCTTCCTGGATGGTTATGAAGACAAGGAGGAGCAATGACTGTAAAGTGCCCTGTCAGAGCCTGGCATATAGTAAGTGCTCAACAAATGTGTTATCATAGAGGAGCCTGGCAGGAAGAATCTGTGGAAATCAGTTGTAAAGGATATTTTAAGAAGCTAGAGAACTTGTGGGCTCCCCAGATTAGCATGTGGGCACCAACTGGAGAGTCTGATTCCCTGGATCCCTTCCATTGAGTTGAGATTATACCCCTCTGAGGTAGACAGGAACCTCCCTGCTTACCTGCCTTCCCCCCTCACAGACTCAGATGCCACTGCATCTTCAGATAACAGTGAGACAGAGGGGACACCCAAGTTGTCGGACACGCCAGCCCCCAAGAGGTGAGAAGAAGCCATCATTCTTCTCTGGGAATGGGGATTGGGGGATACTTGTGCCTTATAGCTTCCTCTGACCCCCTCCCCTATCCTTTTTCCAGGAAGAGAAGCCCTCCGATGGGGGGTACCCCCTCTCCCTCCAGCCTCTCTCTGCCTCCTTCAACAGGGTTTCCCCTTCAAGCCTCCGGGGCCCCCTCCCCATACCTGAGCTCGGTGAGTTGGGGTCAAGGATGGGAAATGGTAACTAAGATGCCCGGGAAGGTGGGCATCCTTTGGGTAAAGGGGCCAGGCCTCAGGGTAAATAAAGCAGGCCCAGCTCCGGGGACATCAGTCTGGGTGTGGCCAGCAAGCATTTCTTGGAGGGGTGAGTCAGGGCTGCCCAGTTCTCTCTGGTGTAGGAATGGGGGACAGATATGACTGAGGAGAGCAGACCCCAGGACAAAGTCCTGCTGCTGTCCCATCCCCTTCTGTTCTCAGAAGCCACACTCATCACCATCTCTTGTTTTTCCATTCTTCTTCCTGTTTGCATTTTTTCCCTTCACCCCTCCCCATCCATTCCATTTCCCATCTCCATCCCCCCACTCCCACCTGCAGCTGGCTTCCCCTCCCTACCCCCCATTCCCTTCTGACTACCTGGCCCTGCAGCTGCCCGAGCCCAGCCCCCTGAGGCCCAAGCGGGAGAAACGGCCCCGCCTGCCCCGGAAACTCAAGGTACCCTGATTCTGGGACATTAGGGAGGGGCCAGAATGGCAGGAGGATAGCCATTTGAGGGAGGCTCAAGATGGGCTGGGGGCCTGTCCAGGAATTTTGAAGGATTGATTTGGGGCTGCTGGGAGCCCAGCCCAGGGCTAGGTACTGAGGAGTGTGTGTCAGAGAAGTCCTAGCTCACAGGCTCGATGTGGAGATAAATCAGGGGCAGGAAAGCCTTGGGGGACTCAGAGTAAATATGCCTAGGGTCCTGCCTTACACTGCTGCAGTGTGACTGGAGGCCATTTTCACAGGTGTTCTGTGATGCCAAGCAGTCCCAGAGGGAGGGGTGGAGTTGTGGGATCTAGAATCAAGTCAAGGCTGTGCCAATTAAAACCATGGGACCTTGAGCAGGGCTCTTAAATACTCTAGGTCTCAGATTCTGTATCTGTAAACTAAGCCATCAAAATACATGTATCAACAAGTGTTTATGGAGTGTCTGCTATGTACCAGGCACTGTTCCCAGTGCTGCAAATGCAGTGATGAACAAAACAGACAAACCTCTGCCTTCATGGAGCTCGTGTTGGAGGAGGATAGGCAGAAAATAAACACGATAAACAGGTGGCAGTGCAGAAAAATGGAGCCAGGAAAAGTGGATGGGAAGCACCAGAGTAGACGGGGGCTGATACTTATGGTTAGATGGTCTGGGATGTTTTTTGGTCAGAGACTTTAATGAAATGAGAAAAGGCCATGTGGCTCTCTTTGTTTTTTTGTTTTGTTTTGTTTTCCTTTATTGATTTGAGAGAGAGAGAGAGAGAGAGAGAGAGAGAGAGAGAGAGATAGAAACCTCGATGAGAGAGAGAATCAATTGGCCACCTCCTGCATGACACGGGGGATCAGGCCCACATCCTGGGCATGTGTTCTGACCGGGAATTGAACCGGCATGGGTTCTTGGTGCATGGGTCTGCTCAACCACTGAGCTACACCAGCCAGGCTCTGGGAAGGTGTTTCAATTAGGAAGAATAAGCAGCGCCAAGGCCCTGGAGCAGAGGTGTGTATGTGTGTACATGTGCATGTTTGGCTTGTTCGAGGACCAGGAAGGAGTCCAGTGTGATTGGATGAAAGTCAGAGGGCGGAAATGATCAGAGAGTAGGTCAGAGAAATAACTGAGGGGTAAGACTGTGTGGGGCTGTATAGGTGTGTACAGACTTTGACTTATACTATGGATGAGTAGGGAGCCTTTGGAGAGATTGGGCAGAGGGAGAATCTGATTTACACGTTAACAAAATTGTTGACATTGCTGTGTGGAGAATAGACTAATGTTCTGTGATGCCAGGGTATTGGGGCAGGATGAAAACAGTGAGACCAGTGAGGAAGCTACTGCAGTGGACCAGATAGCAGTAGAGAGGGTGAAAAGTGGATCACAGGTCTGTTTCAGAGAAAGCCACAGGAAGATCATTGTGGGCTGTGAGAAAGAAGTTAAGAATGACTTAAGGGTTTTTGGTCTGAGCAACTGAAGGAGAGACGAGCAGGTTTGGGAAAGAATGAGTTTGGTCTTGGACATGTTGAGATCCTGTCTGGAAATGCCAGCAAGACAACTGGATAACGTGAGCTTGGGGCTCGTGGGGTATGTACTTGGAAGTTAGCAGCATGGAAGTGGATGCGATCAGCAGGTGAGAGTGTCAGCAGGATGGAGAAGAGGTCTCTGCACGTAGCCCCAGTAGACATGAGGACACAGAAGGCACAGTACCCTTCCAGCTCTGAATCAAAATAGAATAGGCACCAGCTCTCAAGTTGGGTGGACTGTTGACTCAAGGTTCCAGAGCCAGAAGTCAAGTGGGATGCCATGTTTGTGGTGGTGGTGAGTGTGGATTCTAGAGTTTGTATCCCAGCTCTGCCACTTCTTCCCTGTTTGACCTTAGCCCTTAAGCATGAAAAATGGGTAGGTAATGGGTGATATACTGAGCCTTCACTCTACTTAGCAGGGCTTTTGTTTCTGGCCTATCGGGCAGAATGGTGGAGATGGCAAGGGTCTGTGAAGCCTGGAGCCAATGAGTAGAGGTTTGGTGTGGCATGGGCTTGGTAGTTTGAGGCTTTCTGAGGTGTTGGATCCTCGAAGTGGAGGAGTGTTGGAGAGCTGAGTTCTGGACATACAGGAGAGAAAATGTTGATTGGGAGAGAGGTCCAAATCAGTTGCTGTGCTTGGGGAACGGGATAATTCAGGGAAGGCCTCAAAGAGGTAACATTTGAGCCCAGGGTAAGAATTGGACATTACAGGCTGAGGCAGTGGTGGAAGAAAGACAAAGGACATGGTGAAAGTGTTTGGGCTGGAGCAGGAGTGATGAGAGAACATTGGAAAGAAAATTAGGATGAGCCTCAGGCAGATTTGGCTGGGTTTGATCCCAGCTCCCCTTTGTGACCTTGGGCATGTCATTTAACTCTCTGAGCTTCAGCTTTCTTACAGGGTCATGGATCACTGTCACGATAAAATGAATTAATAGAGAGAAAACTTAACCCAATGCCTGGTCCCTAGTAAACCATAGATAAACATTAGCTGCCATTGGTCACTTGAAGAGGCCACTGAATTAAGTCCAAGCAGGGTTAGGACTTGGGAACTAGAATAAGGATCAAGAGTAGTGGCCAGACGCCCAGCCGGTGTGGCTCAGTGATTGAGCGTTGACCCATGCACCAAGAGGTCATCGGTTCAATTCCCGATCAGGGCACATGCCCAGGTTGTGGGTCAAATCCCCAGTGGGGGCATCCAGGAGGCGGCCAATCGATGTTCTCTCTCATCGATGTTTTTATCTCTCTCTCCCTCTCCCTTTCTCTCTCTAAAATCAATAAAGAAAAAAAAAAGAGTAGTGGCCAGAGGAGGGGACAGTCCTCGTGTGGCTGTTTTCAGCCTGCACGTGTGTCTGCTCCTGTGTGTACACATAGGTGCCTGGTACTGGGTTTAAGGGTGCTGTTCAGTGCTGGGCCTCCTGTCTGTCTTTAGTCCTGGCAGACACCTGTACCCTGAGGTGCTGACTCTGATTAAGAACCCACTCGCCCTCCACGCCATACCAGGAACAGCAGTGAGGGGAGGCCATGCGAGCTGAATGGGTTAAAGCAATCAGAAGGGCCACTGTGAAGACCACACAGAAGCATTTCCTGCCACTCCCACCCACTGCCCAAGGGGGACCTGGCAGCTTCAGTTTTCTCCTCTGGCCCATGACTTCTCCCTTCGTGGGTGGTCATACTGGTCAGAGATCACTAATGGGAATCACCATTAGTAGGTGCTCAGAGGCAAAGCATGAAACCCAAAGAGCTCTCTGAGGGGAGGATTGTAAGGACCTGGCAGGGGTGGGGCTGGAGGGTTGGGCAGGACAGAGGCCACTTCCCAGCCTCAGGACAAAGCAGGACTTTTGACAAATAGTGGAGGTACTGGCCTGTTCTCGGGCACGCAGCACTGCCTGTCCCACGGGCAGCGAGGAGCCTGAGGCCAAGTGGAGGAATGACACGCTCAGGTCTGTGTTTTTAGAGAGCTCACTCTGGCTGCAGTGCGGAGGAGGAGCTGGATCTGGGAGAGGCTGAAGGCAGGGAGTCCAGTTAGGAGGCTGGTACCATAGTCCAGGTGAGCTGAGAGGAGGGCCTGGCCTAGGCCAGTGACTGTGGGGATCCCAAGGAGGGGCCCATCCCCAATATCAGAAGCCTCACATAGCAGGGGGTGAAGTCCTAGGACAACCCCACTGAACCAGTGAGTCCCATAGAAGGAGGAGGGAGAGGCCAGTGGTGGCCGGTGGTGTCTGAGGTGCCCAGAGGCAGGCAGGCAGGCAGGCACTCCAGGCTGACTCGGACTCTGGCTCTAACTGCCGTCACGGGGCTGCCGAAGTGCCTCCCTGGTGAGGCAGGGCCCAGCCTTTCCCTCCTGGTGTCCTGTAAGCCACACCCCGCCCTCATCACTGCTTTCACCACTGCCCCTTACCACCGGGCCCTGCTGGTTTGAGACTGTGAAGGGGCTCAGGCGGGGCAGCGCCCTGATTCCAGCATGGCTGCCCCAGCTGTTTCCAGTATCTTTGAATGAGCCTTTGCCCCTTCCCCACCCCCCAGAACTGCCATAGGGGCAGTGCCAGCCTCCTGGAGGTCCCATTCCTCCCTGACAGCCCCTCCCTGTGTTTCTTCCCCCTTGCTACAGATGGCGGTGGGACCCCCTGACTGCCCTGTGGGAGGGCCGCTGACCTTCCCCAGCCGGGGTTCTGGGGCTGGGGTGGGGGCAGCCCTGGCCCCACTGCCACCCCCTAAGATGCCCCCCCCCACAATCCTGAGCGCAGTCCCTCGGCAGATGTTCAGCGATGCAGGCAGCGGGGACGATGCCTTGGACGGAGATGACGACCTGGTTATCGACATCCCGGAATGACTCCTCTGCCCTGTCCCCTGTCCAGCACCTTGTGCCAGCACACATGAGCCCCAGCTTCCACAGAGACATTTATTGACGCCCAGTTGCCATGCTGCGGCCACTGACACAATCAGAAAAGGTGTAAACATGCACAAATGTCCCCTGGAAGGTGGGCCCTCACACCTTGGCCCCATCCTGAGGACAGTTATTTAAATAAGTGATTGGGTTCACCTGCCACCTCTCGGAGAGGCAGAGACCCTGCGGTCCCCGCCCCCTTCCATTTAACTGTACAGGGCTAGATGTTTTGTTTCGTTTAAATGAAGATTCTGTATTACAGGAGTGGCTCTTTTTTGGTTTTTGTCCTTTTCTTCTTTTGGAAACTTTCTCCTCTTTCGAACCCCCCCTAATCCGACCTCCTCCCTGTGGGTGGAGGGGACGGGGCAGCCTGGAGAGGCAAGAGAGGAGCAGCAGCTGGGCCTTGGGCCAGGGGGCCCTGGCTGACGCCCCCTGCAGGTGTGCACAGGATGGGTGGTTTGCATATTTGCATGTAGTAGCGAGTCAGGCAGGAGGAAGTTTGCATATGTGAATATAGATCTCCACAGTCCCTCACAAGAAGACAGACCCACAGTCACAGACTCTCTCACAAAATAAGACAGGTAGTGCAGGGCGGGGCGGGGCATCCACCCCGTGTAAACGTGCAACACACTCGTGCGAAGGTTGGGTACTGGACCCGGTCCCTAGGGACCTGTGCTGGGCAGCTGCCAGCCCCTCAGGCGGAGGGCAGCGCCCCGGCTGCAGGGGGCAGCTCGCTGGTCAGGGTGTGCCAGCGCTCCAGGGCCGTGTCTGGCTGCTGCAGACAGTCACTCCAGTGCTTCCGAGCCTCACCCCGGGCACCTGGCCCCAGGGACACGCCGCCTGGGAAGCAGTAGAGGCAAAATCAGGGCCCTCTCACTGCCCGTCTGCCCTCCATCAGTACCACCCAGCGGGCTCCTCCCTCACCAATGAAGTCGTTGGATTTGCCAATGTCATAGTCCCAGACTGTGACTTCCAGAGTCTTGGTGGCCAGAGCTGAGAGCTCCATCTCATAGAAAAACTCCTGGGACAGGACAAGCCACACCTTCCATGAGGCTTTGCCCTACCCCCTGGCACCCCTCCCCCCCATCATTTCTGGTCCCTGCCGCATTTACCTCATTAAATTCTGGGTTGAGAGTCTTCTTTTTCACACCTGTTTTATGCTTGGATTTCTTATCCACATCTGGCCGCAGGTACCTGCCAAGGAGGTGGGGCAGGGGGCAGAGGAGTAGGGTGGTCAGAGAGATAGGCCACATCCCAGAGGAGGACAGGGCAGGGATCGGGCTCCTTGGGGGGGGGAGAGAATGGGCCTCGGCAGGGGGAGGAGGGCTCACGTCTTGACATAGGGGTCGGAGTAGCCATTGACGTCCATGGCAGCCAGGTGGGCACAGCGTATGATGCCCACCAGCAGCCCCTGGCGCGGTGAGCTATAGCTGAGGCTCAGCAGGATGCGCCCTCGTTCTTCCAGCAGCCCAGGCCCCTGTTCCACCTGCTCCAGCTTTGGGGTAGACACAGAGGTCAGCCTCCATCTTTACCACCTCCCACCCAGACTGGTCTCAGTGAGGTGCCTTACCTCCTTCAGGTAACAGGATATGCCCCTGAGCGCTGCTGACATGGAAGAGGGCGAAGCCAGCTGAGAGGGCAAAGAGAAGGTTCTGGGAACCTGGCCTTCCCAGGGTCCCCTCCCCTTAGCGCCCTGCAGCCCCACACAGACCGGGACCTGGCGCTCGAGGCAGATATTAAAATGCTTCTTCTGTGAAGGCTTGAGGCGGCGGAGGGGCACACGGATCTCCCCGATGAACTCATTGTGGCTCAGTTTGTCTTCATCACATACGGAGATCCTGGCAGGGAAACATCAAGGTCGTGGCCCCTGGGGTACCTGAGCCCCACTCCAGTAAGAAAGTGCCTCTGATAGAACCTGCCTTAAATACTCGACACCTCCCCTGTAAAGCAGGCTGTGTGGTGAGCACCAGGCCTGGAACCTGAGAAGGACACTTTGATTTGCCCTGTTGCTCTGCCCCTCCCTTTACATTGCCCAGGCTGTCTCGTCCATCAGGATCTTCTCAGCTACTTCAGGAAACCTTCACAAATCTTGGGGACCCTCCCTCTCCCCACCTCCAGGGCCTGTGGACAGGATCCTACTGAATGTGCACAGGGTGTGCACTGGTGAGTGCAGGTCACTGATTCAGAGTGTGAGCAAGAAGGGCCTTGAGGGGTCCTGGGCAGTTGGACAAGGCTCTCACATCACCCCTGGAGCTCCTGTCCTTTCTGCATGGAGCAGGGAGCCAGCCTGGGAGAGGCTCCCGAGGCCAGAGATAAGAAATGATTGATTTTAGCCCTGGCCGGTTTGGCTCAGCGGTTAGAGCGTCGGCCTGCGGTCCGGAGAGACCCGGGTTCAGTTCCCGCTAAGGGCATGTACCTCGGTTGCAGTTTGTCCCCGGCCCTGGTTGGTCGTGCGGGTGGCAGCCACTCGATGTGTCCCTTTCACATCGATGTTTCCCTCTCTCTCTCTTCCTCTCTCTCCCTCCCACTCTGTCTGTACAAAAAATGGAAAAATGTCCTCGGATGAGGATTAAAAAAAAAAAAAAAAAAAAGAAATGATTGATTTTAGCCCAGCTGGTGTGGCTCAGTGGTTGAGTATCAACCCATGCACCAAGACGTCACCGGTTCGATTCCCGGTCGGGGCACATGCCCAGGTTGTGGGCCCGATCCCCCAGGGGCGTGGGGGGAGCGCATGCAGGAGGTAGCCAATCAATGTTCTCTCTCATCGATGTTTCTGTCTCTCTCTCCTCCATTCCTCTCTCTCTAAAAATCAATAAAGGAAAAAAAGAGAAAGAAATGAATGCTTTTACTTCTATAGTCCCCTTCTGCAGCCCCCTACACTGCCTTCTGCTGTGACACTCTTGAGTAGCTGTGTCATGTAGGAGTGTTCAATTCCCACCTCAACCACTTACTAGCAACCATGTGACCTTGGGCAAGTCAACCTCCTGAAGCCTCAATTTCCATCCATAAAATGGAAATAATGATTACCCACCTTCTAAAACTATTATAAAGATCAGGTGATGGCCCTGGCCGGTTTGGCTCAGTGGTTAGTGTCGGCCTGTGGACCAGAGAGTCCCAGGTTCGGTTCCCACTAGGGGCATGTACCAAAAACAAAAAACAAAAAACAAAAAAACATCAGGTGAAATGAAGAAATGTAAAAATGCTTATCCAGGGTGGGTACTACCAAGCACTCAGAAAGTGATTTAGTCCTAATTCTTTAGCATCTGAAATATGGGGCCGGCCTTTCTGGTTTCTGCCTCTGTCCTCCCGACCAGTCCACCTCACACACAACCAAAGCAATCTCTCTAAAACAGCCCTGACCATGTCCCTGCCCTGATGCCAGCTCTTCCATGACTCCCTATTACCCAAGAAAAAGCAAAGTTCTCCCAGGAGCCTAGGTTTTGCTGCCTTTGATTCCCTGCGGTGGACTACTCTCCCCACAGCTCCAGCTCCACCTCCTGGGATGACCGTGCAAGTTTCCTGTCCCTAAAGCTTCACTCCTTGGAGATGTTAGGGGGACACAGGCAACAGAATGGACAGACCTTCACTGCATAACCTGACTAAGTCAGGAACCCCGGAAAGGGCGCCAATGGCCAGGGAAAGCCTTCAGGAGGAGGAAGAGCTTCAGACCACGAGTGGACTTTAGGGTGGCAGGAAGAAGCAGGAAGCAGAGAGCACTTTCCAGGTAGGGACAGCAGGCAAAGGTTAGGAGTAATGAACCTGAGCAGTCAGGACAGGACGGTCCTCTGTTGGAGGAGCAGTAGGAGTTATTCTGGAGGTAGGAATGCCAGGGAAACATGCCCACTGCCAAAGGGGAGGGGGAGCCTCCGAATGTACTTGAGCATTTGAGAGGGACTTAATGGGAAGTAGATCAACCAAAGGAGGTTCCAATGATAGCTGTCCAAGAGGAGGTGCTGAGCTGGAATCCTTGGTAGCAGGGAGGGTGGGCCCTCACCTGAGCACCTTGTGGCTGATGTCATCATCCGTGATTCCACTGTACGTCAGGTCCTCATTCCACACAGGATTCAGAGTGTTTCTCTGAGTCTTAGTTTTTAGCTTATTGGCCTGAGACGTGGGGATGAAGAGTTCTCAGTACATGTTCCCTAGACTCAGAGAGGCTGAAAGCAAGGGAAAATTTGGGCTAGACCCACAGCTGGGTCAGACTTGGGGAGGGAGGAAGCTATTACCTTGCAGGCTCCAGGAAGCAGATGCACCTTAACGTAGGGGTCAGCCAGGCCATTGAAGTCCATGGGCTTGAGGCCCTGGAGAGGAGAGGAAGAAAGAGGCTGTGAGCTTCCAGCTTTCCCTCGCAGAGTGGACCCTTGGGGTGTGGAGAGCCAAGAAGAAGGGTACTGGGGGTGGGGGGGTGGGGAGGGGAGCAGGGGTCTAGCGTGGAGAAGGGAAGGAAGGATGGAAACCCACCCCACCCAGGTGGGAGACAAACGGGGCTGGGGCTTGGGAGTGCCCACCTTGGCCCTGAGGATACTACAGTGCAAAGTGCAGGAGGCCTGGTCGTAGAGAAGGTCAAACTCCAGTGTGCCCAGGGCGGCTGGAGAAGAGAGAAGAAGTAGAGTCAGTGTGTAAAGACAGATGTGTGAGAGACTGGTGGGCAGGCCGGCCGTGTGTGCTGGCTGTGAAGGTGTGCACGTATCTGTCAGCCTGTGTGTGTGTCTGGGTTCCTGGTTGGGCCACAACTGGGGCTATGTGGGTGGTTGTCTCAGCAGAAATATTGAATATTGAGCCTTGCTGAAGCTGCAGTCTCCACACTGACTGCAGCTGTAGTGGCAGTGCCTGTTGCCTTCCCACACACCCACCAGCAGAGCCCCATTCCCTTCCCACAGCCCAGAGGCCCCCATTAGCTCCCTGGGCTCTTCAAGCCCCCAGACTCACTGGCATCATCCGAATCATAGCTGTCGACCTCAGCTCCATCCTCGGGGGTGGTGGCCCCAAGGAGGGCTGCAGGGGGGGCCAGGGCCAAGGGGGCCAGCCGAGCAGGGGCCTCCCCAAGGCCCCCACCACCACCCCCTTCAGGTCCTGGTCCCCTGCGGGGGAAGTAGTCGGAGATTTGGCGGATGGGCCGGATGGGCCCTGGGCACACGTTGATGGCCATGTGCTCCTGGATGTTGATGGTCATGCGATCACCCCTGCGGCCCCTCATGCAGCAGGCCTGTCTGTGGGGAGGGAGGTTCCAGTGTGTGAGCCGACTCCTTACACCTACGGTCTGCTGGCTGAGGGCCAGGCAGCAACCACCTCAGTCTGACCTCCCTTTCTAGGTGTGGAGGGAGAGGTCAGCCTGTGTCAGCTGATGGGCAAGCAGCAGGCCTGGGTTCTCCAAACCCCCAGCCTTGCTCCATAGGGGCTGGGCTGCCAACCCACTCCCCCCCAGATAGGTCCTGGCTCCAACTCAGCCTTGTCCACTTACCTCTAGAGCATCCCTTTGTCATATCCCCAGCTCCTGCCCCTCATTCTGGGCTTCCGTCTGCCCCTGGGCCCTGCCTACTCCCCGCAGCCGCCTCCTAGGTCTCCTCTGCCTCTCTCAGGCTCTGCCCATCCTTCTGCAGCAGGCGCTTGCTTGTCCAGTCGCGTGTCGCCCACCCTTCTAGACATTCCCTTCCCACTGTCTATTCACTCCCACGATCTACCTGTCTGCTGGTCCCCTAACCCCTGCAGCCCAAGCTGGGGTCCCCTTCCCCAGATGCCTCCTCCTGAGATTGGCTCTCCGGAGGAGCCAGAAATTGCAGTCTTGAGCGAGCTAACCCCCTCCCCCCTCCAGGCACACGCAGGCTAATGCACACACCCTCACCCTCGCCCCGGCGACCCAGCCCCTGCACCTGTCTCTGTGCCTCCAACAGGTGCCCAAGCACTGGGGGGACGGCGGGTGCAAGCTGGGCGGTGGCGATTCCCAGGGTGGCGAGAAGAGCGCGGAGTCCGGCTGTGCGCGCAGAGAGGGAGGGAGGACCGGAGAAAGTGCGGGAGGAGGGGGTGAGCGAGGTGGAAGCGCGGAGGCAGCGGGCGCGGGGGGCGGGGGCCGGGAGGGGAGGACAGGGTTGGGTAGGGGGCAGGACGTGCCAGCCCGGGCACACGAGTGCACACACAGTCATGGGCACGCAGGTTGGCACCCGCATCTTGCACGGGCACTCCCGCCCACACGCCCGTGACCACGTGCTCAATTTCACACACATGCACAAACCCAGACACGCACTGACACACTCACCCCGGAAAACTTCGCATACACTCACACGCAAACGCACGAGCCCCTGCGTCACCAGGAACCAACAGTGAGAATTGCCTAGTGTTCCCCAACTCTTCCCTCCCCCGGAGACCTGGCTCCTGCCCCGGGCCCACGCGGAGCCCACGGTGCCCACTCCCTGGCTGTCTCCTTCCTTCCCTCCAGAGTCTCCAGGACCCGTCCACCGGCCTAGTTGCCATGGCGACGCCGCCTCGCTCCTTCTCCACGGCTCCCTCCCACCCCCAGGCATCCTCACCCCCTTCCCCGCGGAGAGGTACCGAGGAGGGTGGAGGGCGTCTGGCCCTCTACTCCCGTATCCCTAGGGGTGGGGCCCAAGGCACCTGCTTGGAGATCTGCAGTGACCCAGGATCTATCTCCAGGGAGGTCTGATCCGCCTGGCCCGGGATCTCGGGGTCCTGGAGCCCAGCTGGGGAATCTCGCATGCCTCCTCCCTTTGGCTATTCGGGTGTCTTCCCTTGTGACCCATTCTACCCCCAAGAGCGTGTGTCCCCTTCTCAGAGAAGGCATCCCCTTTGGAAATACACCCTCTGCCCACTCCAGTTCTGTCCCTCAGGGGAAGAGGGGCGCTGGGCTTCTCTGAGTGCCCTGGGCACTGCAGTCTTTCCTCAGCAGTTGCTTTTCTCATCCATCCCCCAAAGACAGAGTCCTCACAGTGGCTTCCAAGGCCCTTCAGTCCAAGACCCTGACTTCTCTGATCTCATCACTCGGCTCCTCGCACTGGCTCGCAGAAATGTTACTTGCAGTTTCTATAACACACCTGCACCTCTCAGGCCACTGGGCCTTTGCTCCCCTAAGCCCCTTTGCCCGGAGGGCCTTCCCCTTCCTCCAGGGGTCATTCTGAGTCACCTCTTCTTAGGAGCCTTCCTGAAACATTGCCCTTCTGCCCCCAGCTTCTAGTGCTGTCTCAGGCTCAGCTCTGGTGACAATGGTTTGTCACTCGTGCTTACATTTCTGTCTCTCCTCCACCCCCACCAGGAGCAGAGGCTGCCTCAAGTTGGGCCTGGCACTACATTGACATCACTAAGTGTTACGATTTCAAAGGGAAATGTGGCTGCAGCGTGAACTGTCTGCTTGAAGACGGCTAAGATCTATTGCGATGTATAGTTTGTAATGCACAATTTTTAAACAGAGACAAATGCAAAGTCGGACCACACTGAGATAGCACTTATCATCGATCAAATGGTAAAATTCAAAGCATCTGTTAACACACAATGTTAATGAGGCTGTGGGTAAATGGACAGCACGTGTACGGAAGGCAGTCTGATGATGGATACCCATATGACAAATACATAGACTATTTGACCCAGAAATGCCACTTCTTGATATTGTCCTATATGTATGCTGGCCCAAGAGCAAAATAATAGAAATTCAATGTTATTTGTAATGGCAAAATATTGGGAACAACCTAAATGTCCACAAGTAGGGGACCAGTTCAGTCAGGACACAATTTCATACAACGAAATCATTTGCAGCCATGGCAAAGAAAGAGGTCTTTTTTTCTTTTTCTTTTTGTACGTGTCCCTAGTGGGAACCAAACTCGGGACTCTCTGGTCTGCAGGCCAACGCTCCAACCACTGAACCAAACCGGCCAGGGCAAGAATGAGGTCTTTTATGTACTTGTACAGAGTCATCTTCACAATATTATGTTAACTGAATACAGTAAGATACAGAGTAGCATGTATGGAATGCTTCCATTTGAGGGGGGGAGTTTATATCTGTTTGTTTATTTGCGCATAAATTATTTTTGGAAGACTGCACAAGAAAGTGGTAACTATGGTGACCTCTGAGGAGGTAGCTGCGGGACAGGGTAAGGCAGGAATAGGAAAGAGTTCTTTTTCAACGTATACTTTCATACCTTTTGAATTTTGTACCATGTGCATATGTTACCTATTCAAAAGCATTAAAAGAATGTAATTAAAATTTTTTTCTTTATTGATGTTAGAGAGAGTAAGAGAAAGGGAGAGAAACATTGATGAGAGAGAACATCTAGTGGCCACCTCCCACATGCCCCCCACTGGGAATGGGACCCACAACCTGGGCATGTGCCCTGACTGGGAATCGAACCAGCGACCTCTTGGTGCATGGGTCCACACTCAACCACTGAACCACACCAGCCGGGCAAAAGAATGTAATTTCTTTAAAAGCAAAGGCAGCCCAGCCAATGTGGCTCAGTGGTTGAGCATCAACCCATGCACCAAGAGATTGCAGGTTCGATTCCCAGTCAGGGCACATGCCCAGGTTGTGGGCCTGATCCCCAGTGGGGGGCATGCAGGAGGCGGCCAGTCGATGTTCTCTCATCAATGTTTCTCTTGCTCCCTCTCCCTTTCTCTCTTTCTAAAACCAATGAAGAAGAGAAAAAAAAAAAAGCAAAGGCAACCATTAGGTTTCCTTGAGGATAAGAAAGGAGACAGGCCCTGGCCGGTTTGGCTCAGCGGTTGGAGCGTCGGCCTGCGGTCTGGAGAGACCCGGGTTCGGTTCCCGCTAAGGGCATGGACCTCGGTTGCAGTTTGTCCCTGGCCCTGGTTGGATCGTGCGGGTGGCAGTCACTCGATGTGTCCCTTACTCATCAATGTTTCTCTCTCTCTCTCTCCCTCCTACTCTATCTGAACAAAATGTCAAAAAATGTCCTCGGGTGAGGATAAAAAAAGAAAGAAAGGAGACAGGGCTATGGGAGATGCCACCATCCAGGACCAGAGCTGGTGGTCTGGCCAGAGTCAGATCTAGGCCTGCAGTAAGGGGAGGGCTTAGATGGGCAAGAGCCTTAGACTCCTGCTTCCTCCACTTTGGTCTTCTTAAAGGGCTTAGCTCAGGCTCAGCAGCACCCCACAAAGAGCCTTGTTGAAGGGGAGAATAGACAGTGCTGAGCCCCGATTTGTCAAGAGGTAGAAAGGTTTTTCATCTATCTGTTGTGTCAATAAATATTTACCAAATACCTGCTATATATTGTGGTGCTATGACTATGACCAAGATCAATGATCTCTGGCTTCACAGCCTTGTCGGGAGATAGATAGTAGACAGACAAGTCCCGTGCCTCGAGATTGATGCAGTGACTGGAGACAGTTACAAGGTGTGGGATCTCAGGTGCACTTCCCGGGGGAAGTGTTGCCTCAGCCAGGTCAAGTGTGGAGCAAGAGTGTCCTAGGCAGAGGTGCGTGCCTAGGCTAGAGTGTGCCGAGGAAGGGAGAGCCTGGAGAGAGTCGAAGAGGGTAGTTGGACAGGGCTGGGCAAATCTTGCAGGTCAGGGTAAGTTCAGAATTCACACAGGAGCCACTGGAGTGTCTTAGTAGTGGATGTGCATTTCCTGGTTTGTTCTCACCGGGGGAGAGCAAGAGAGGGAGACCAACTAGTCCGCGGGCTGTTGCAATAAGCTGGGTGAGATGTGGGGTTGGCTTCAATGAAGGAGGCAGAACCGGAAGGGAAGGAAGTGGATAGATTTGAGATTTATGCTGGAAATTGAGCCAACGGGTCTTGATAATGGGTTTGTCAGAAGCAAGACAAGGAAGGATCTTAGATGACTCCTGGGCTTTTGTGTTGAGCAGCGAATCTAGGAACCACGAGACCATTTGCTGCAGTGGGAAGGAGGGCAGGTTTGGGGTAGGAGAAGCAAGAGCTCCATTTAGATCTGTTGAGTCGGAGATGTTTTTGGACATACAGAGGCATGAAGCAGGAAATTGGATAGAGGAATCTGGAGCTGAGGAGAGGGCTGGGCTGGAAATATACATTTGTGAGTCATCAGCATACAGATAGTATTTAAAGCCATGAGACTGGATGAGATCACCTAGGGAGAGAGTATAGATAGAAAAGGTCCCAGACTGAGCTGGTTAGAGAACGAGGAGTCCCAAACATCAGTGAGCATGTCTCCGGAGCCTGGAGGCAGGTTCCAGATGCTGAGAGACAGACAGAATGAACAGGGAAGTAACCATTAGATTTGGCAAGTTGTGAAGCCATTGCTGGACTGGTGGGGGACAAAGACAGGTCTGAAGGGGTTGAAAAATACATTCACCGTGAAGGAGTAGAGACAGCAAGTGTAGCCGCCCCTTAGGGATTGTCTGTCTGGACTCTAACGAAGTGCACCCATGAGTCTCTCCCCTGTGGGCCCTGAGGGCACAGAGCAGGGCCTCGCGATTTCTATCTAAGCCACAAATAGAGCCCAGCACAGAGGAGCTCAATACATTTATTTAATAGTTGGATGAGTAAATGAATGGATGATTCACTGCTTGAGTCAAAAGGGCCTTTTTCTTTCGAGGCAATTGAGGAAATTGCAAAATCCACTTCAAAGGCTAAGGCCCTGATCCCCTTTCCTCCCAGCTAGAGCCAGGCACAGGGGTGCGCCCCTGCTGCCCCTTACATGCCTGTGACTTACTTTCTCTTTCTGTGGAGAGGTAAGTGTAGGGAGGAGAGGCCCACACGAGCCAGTCCCACAGGAGCGCCCCCCAAGGTGTTAGTTTCCCTCCTGTTTCCCCTTTTTCTCTCTGGGCTTTTTTCTTCTTTAGGAAGCAGACAGTCCACGAGGGTGGAAAGATGAGGGGTGGGGATCCCGTGGAGGAGGAGTGGACCTCACACATGAACAGGCGTCTGTGTGATAAAACCAAGGAGACCCTGAAGTGTCCTTGGACTTGGGTAGGGTAGGTCACATCTGTGACAGACAGTCCTACTTGCCAGGGGAACTAACTCTTTGAAGCAGACAGGGGCCTGCAAGAATAAAAGTGGAAGTGGCTGTTGAGAAATAATAAATTGGGCACCAGAAAGGGGAAATGGGATGGCCCTGGGGGAAACCACCAGACAGAGGAGCCTGCAAAAGCTCTGTGCATGGCCCTGGCCGGTTTGGCTGAGCGGTTAGAGCGTTGGCCTGCGGTCCAGAGAGACCAGGGTTCGGTTCCCGCTAAGGGCGAGTACCTCGGTTGCAGTTTGTCCCCGGGCCCTAGTTGGTCATGCAGGTGGCAGCCACTCAATGTGTCCCTTTCACATCGATGTTTCTCTCTCTCTTCCTCTCTCTCCCAGTGAACAAAAAATGGAAAAATGTCCTCGGGTGAGGATAAAAACAAAAACTGTGCATGACCCAGAGACCTGCCTCGAGAGATGGACCAGGGGGCTTCCTCTGACAACACCTATGCTTGCCATTCCCCTGGCAATACCTCCTCCTGGAGCATCTGATGCAACCTGTGGGAAGAGGGCAGTGAAGGGCCTGGAGTTGGGGAGCTGTGTCTTCCTAGAAGAGGGAGAACAGGGAGAGCAGGCAGGCAGGCAGGCATGGACACTGCTGCCACCTAGTGGGGAAAGCCTATTATTTTTCCTGGTTCTTAACCCCAGGGTTATCCTTGGCTGAGCCCTTAGAGACCAGGTTTTGGAGTGGGAGAGATACCGGTGCTCCTAAATTTAGGGACATAAGACTAGGGGAGGCCTCAGAAAGGAAAATACACACCCTGGGGAGTGTATATTGCCCATATTACTTTGCCCACATGTGCCTTGGTTCCCTTTTTTGTGTAGTGAGGGCAGTAGTACCTACTTCATAGTGTTGGGATACTTAGATGAGTCAATTTATGTAAAAACTTGGGTGGTTGGGGGAAAGGTTCCAAGCCTCAGCACTCTCTCCCTCCCCTCACCCCAGAGTGTGTGATTATAACCTTCAGGCTGTGACATCATAGAGCCCCCACCCTGTCACAGGAGTGGAGGGATTATGAATCTGTGGCAGTGGGCATGGGCGTGGGTGTGGCTGGTTGGGCTGGGGGCCATAGAAACAGGTGGGAAGTGATCCTGGGAGAAGTAGGAAGGAGGAAAGCTTGGGGGGGGGGGGGATCAACGTCCCCTCAGGGGCCGGGAGGGCAAGCTTTGACCTTTCTCTTTGTTCTCCACACTTCCTTCCCGTCCACCCTGCCCAGCATGGGCCTTCCTGTGGAGAGTTCAGATGATCTTTGAGAAGTTCTTGGAATAAAATTAAGTCCCTCCATAGCCACACTAAGACTGTGGCCTGGCAGGCCCTGGGTCTGCCTCTGCCTCTTGGGGAGGGGGAGAGGGGTCTGCTTGGCTCTTGTCACAGACTTTGCTCTGGGTCCCCAGCACCCAGCCCAGAAAGTGCCAAGACCTTGGCCCTGGGAGCAGATTCTCCAGTCTTCATAGACAGACCTGACTTCTTTGATTACCCAGATTCAGACCAAGCCAGGCTCCTGGCTGTGGCCCAGTTTATTGGTGAGAAACCTATCACCTTTGTTAACTCAGGTATGCAGCAGCTTGAGAAGGGGCCCCCTCCTTGTTCAAGCCTGGAGGAGAGCCGACCTTGGAGATGTGTCCAGGCTCCCCATCTCCCCCTTCCTTGTCTAGCAGATTCCAAATCCAGGTCCTTCCATCACATCCTGGTGGGCATTCTGGCAGTGGCCTTCATCTTCTTCCTTTTTCAGTTCTGCACACACATGTAAGGCCTGCCACCCCGCCCCCACCCCAGCCCCACCCCCACCCACTTCAGCCCTCCCTGGGAGAGGCTGAAGGACTGAGATGGCCTCCCACCTCTGACTGCCCTGCCCCATAGGAACTGCCGGAAAGGGGCCTGAAGAGCCAGACAAGGACCCTGGATGCCACCCTGAGTGCTCAGACCCACCCTCCTCCCCTGCTGATGAATAAAAATCCTCGATTTTTTTTCTCCCCTGTCTGCTCAGTGACCAGCCAGGGGGTCCTGCCCTGTCCAGTGATCATTCTTGTTGTCTATCCCCAGCTCCTGACCCCACCCTGAATCTCAACAAACTGGGCTGAGGGCCATGATGGCGTTCACGCAGATCGTCTTTATTAGCGGTCTGTAAAGCACCTCCCAGGGCCCCCCGACCCCCGACTGGAGGAAGCCTTGAGAGGTCTGTAGCACCAGGGCATGCCAGGGCCTGAGGGCAAGATGTGCAGCCTGCGAGGGAAGGAACCAGTGCCCCTCACCTGCCCCCGGGATTGCTCAGCGCAGGGAAGGCTGGGAGATAGCAGCCACCTCCCTCCCCCACCCCAACAAACTAGTTTGAATTTGGGTGAATAAATAAGATTCCTCAGGCTGGCCTCCCCTGGAGAGGCGCTAAGGAGGCAACCAGCCCTGAGCAAGACCTATGGGGGTTGGTGAGGGTGGCCCCACCTCCCAGATGTCAGGGTGCTGAGAGGAGTTGCAGCGGGGGGTACGGGATGGCCTTGGCAGCAGGGCCTTTCCCACGTTCCTCGACTCCTGGTCCTCTTGAGTCTGCAGCAGTCTCCCCAGCCCCCAGGCCTTAAGTGGATTCGAAGTGGTGCGCCTTCCTCTGCCCTCCGCTCTTCAGGGCCCCAGAGTTGTGATCAGAGAAGGGCTATGCAGTAAGGGGTTCGCTACCCTCAGCCCAGGCACCTTGGGGAGGAGAGGCCCTCCCTCTCTGCCTTGCACGTCACCTGGTCCCTGCCCCTCAGCCCCTGAAGGGATCTGTGCCCACCCCTTCGGAGTCCACTTGTCAATCCCGGGGCCGTCAGGCCCCTGGCTCCCCACCCCCATCCAGCAGCCCCAGAGCCCTGTCCCCGCGGGGAGAGGGTGGGGCTGGGGAAGAGAGGGGGAGGGTCACCTGGCCCCACCCTCAGTCCTGAGTCTGAGAGGGAGAGGGCGGCGGGGAGCTCCGGGGCCAGAAGAGGCGGCAGGCCCCGCGGCAGATGAGGAAGAACCAGTAGAGCTGTGGGGCGAGCAGCAGCGCGGCGCCCAGGTTGACGTGGGCCGGGATGGCGAGGGGCACGGCGAGCAGCGGCAGGCCCGCGTGCCGCCCGTAGGCCCAGTACAGGTAGGGGAAGAGCAGCACCCGGCAGCAGAGGAAGCTGAGCAGCATCAGGGCCCCGTTCACCTTGTGCAGCAGCGTGTGCTGCTGCTTGTACTGCGGTGGGGGCGCGGCAGAGGCGCGGCAGAAAGCAGGTTAGGGGCGGCGGGGTCGGGCCTCCGCCCACTGACCACGCCCCCTCTCACCCCTGGGCCGCGTCCCCTCCGCCCACTGACCACGCCCCCTCTCACCCCTGGGCCGCGTCCCCTCCGCCCACTCACCACGCCCCCTCTCACCCCTGGGCCGCGTCCCCTCCGCCCACTCACCACGCCCCCCCACCCCTGGGCCGCGTCCCCTCCGCCCACTCACCACGCCCCCCCACCCCTGGGCCGCGGGCTGAAGGCCTCAGAACCCGCCTCCCCTCTTAGTGGCTCCCAGAGCTGACATTTCGCCTGTCCTTTAAAGAATTCCTGAAGGTCCTTAAAAGTGCCCGCCCTTCCCATGTCCTCCCATCAGGCTCATATACCCTCAGGCACCTTCTCACCTGGATGAGGATCTTGCCAAGGCAAACGAAGGGTGTGCTGACCTCTGCCATCAGCAAGCAGCCTAGAAAGAAATCTCCCTTGCCCTGACGCCACACCTGCGAGAAGGGGAAGGAAACGCCTCGTCCTGGATTCCTGGGCAGCACCTGCTCTCCTGCTCTCCCTCCATCACTTTTGGAGACACTTAATTCTGAAAGTCTGAACATAACCTCGCTGTATCCAACGATCTTGTGGGTAAGATTGTATTCAGTACATTACATATGAGGAGACGGGGCTCAGAAACATGCAACAGCAGCTCCAAAGCACCACAGCTCTTGCTGTCTGGGGCGGGTCTGGTGCTCAGCAAATCCTTCGTGGGGACCCTCCACCCTGGGCCTGCCCTGCTGCTGGAACCTGGACCCACAGCTCCCCAGCCGTTCACAGTGCTGGCATGAGCAGGACAGAGGCCCTGGCTGTCAGCACCCTGACTCACCACCGACAGCGGGAAGCACACAAGCACCATGACGGCATGGTGGAGCACCATGAGGAACTCCTTGTGCAGGTAGCCCCGCGCCACGGCCCAGATGCTGCCTGGGGCTCGGGCCCCTCCTTCATCCCCTCCGTGCCCCTTGACCTGATGCTTGTGCCAGTGACAGAGGAACATGGCGTAGATGTCATAGATGAAGTAGGGCACTGCAAACTGTGTGTAGGCAGAGGAAAGCCAGTGTCTGTTGGGCACAGGGGGGTGGGTGGGCAGAGAGAGAAAAAGTGGTCAGGAGGAAAGGACACGGACAGAGCAGCTGTCAGGGGCCAGGGTTGATGCTGGAGGCATCATGTGAGTCAGATCTCAAGTGCTAGTCACAACACTGAGCTGGAAGTGGACTCAGTGACCCGATGGAGCCCAGGTGAGAGGGTGAGAAACACTGTAAGTCATGCGTCACAACGCTGTGAACAGCGGTGCTGAGATTCAAAGCCACTGTCTGACTTCAAAACCCATCCATTTTTCATATTTGTTCGTTCATTCATTCATTCATTCATTCACTCACTTCTTGTCCTCTCTCTCTCCGAGCAAACAAGCTCAGGCAAAATGTGAAAGACAGTTGAGGTTAAGACAAATAACAGCAGACGGGTGGGAGTGATGAGGAGAGATCACACTGGCTAACATTGACTGACTAGTTATTACATGCAGGCCCTATTCTAATATTCCAAATCTTTTACATGCACAAACTTATTTACTCCCCCCAGAAGAACCTCTTAAAAAGTAGGTATGAGCCCTGGCCAGTTTGACTCAGTGGTTGGAGCATCGGCCTGCGGACCAGAGCCCCGGGTTTGGTTCCCACTAGGGGCATGTACCAAACAAACAAAATAAATAAATAAAAAGTAGGTATGGTTATCCCTCCATTTTACAGATGAGGAAACAGAGGCCAGGTGACCTGGCCAAGGAATAAACATGAGAGGTCTGGCACCAAAGGCCTCCCTCGCAGCCCTGCTGTGCCCTGGAAGATCTGAGGCAACTGTGGGAGACAAGCCGCATTGGGGAGTTGGAGCTGTCTGTGCTGCTCGTTCCTCCTGAATGTGCCCCGTCCCTTGATTTTTCAGGTACAGCCAAGCATTATGGAGAAAACGCTGAGCAAAAGGAGCCAAGAGCAGAGAAAGTTCTATGTACTTGGAGAGTAAACAAAAATGAAAAGTGTGTAATATGCAATGTTGCATTTTTCTGCTTGAGTCAGTACATTGAGCCCTTTCTTTTAAATCCTATAACGTTGTGACAGCTCTGAGGTGGGGGTGGGAGGTCAGCGAGGGAACTGGCCCAGCTAGGTGGAAGGACAAAAGAAAAGTGAGCCAGGAAACAACTCAGAAAAAGAGCCGAGAGCAAATGTCAGGAGCTGCTGAAGGAGAGTGAGACCTGGAAGTAGACTGGGAGGGGGTTGCTTGGGGGTGGGCAGAGCTGGAAGCAGAATGCAAGCCCCGGGGAGGCGGCCTGGAAGGAAGCAGGCAGCCCACACTAGCAGGGGCAATTTCAGGAAAGAGAAGCTGAGGCCCATCTGGAGAGTGACCAGGAGGGAGAGAGAGGAGGAGCGGCTTAGAGAGAGGGCAGGAAGGTGGAGAGGGGTCCAACAGCCCGAGAGAAGTTAGAGCAGGGAATGGCCAGGAGAACTGGCTGTAGCACACATGGTAGGAGGTGGGGCCACTGGCTTTTAGGGGGCTCAAGACCACCCACCAGTCTCTGGGCAGCAATGCAAAGGTTTAAACCCAGACCTACCCTCTGAGCAATTATTAAGTGCTCAGAAGTAGGAACAGCTGCTGCCCCCTAGATTAACCCCGATCCTCCTCACCTACCTGAGGATTAAAAGGGGGAGGGAAAATAACAGAGCTGGGATGGGGGAAGGAGAGGGAAAAGTTGGAAGGTGACCTCTGTATGGGGGCGAGAGGAGGAAATGTGTGTGGATCCGGGCTCACTTTGGACCCAGGGATGGATAAGAGGAGGAGAGGGCAAGACAAAGCCAAGTCACAGGGGTGGAGTCTGAAGAAAGAGTTAAGTGTCCACTATGTGTGAGCCAGTATTTCCCTAGGCATTTAACATACACAACTCGACTCCTTGCAGCTGCCTTTCCAGGCAGGGATGTCCCTCAATCCACAGATGAGGGAACTCATCTGCAGGGAAAGAGGGGGTGCCTCTAGGTCAGGCTTATCCAGACAATGTCCCTGGGGCTCAACAGCCTCCACAGAAAGGTAGCAGGGCCAGAAGTGAAGCGTGGGGCGTCATCTTGTGCAGCCCATGGGTCACCTAGAACTGGCCCGTCAGCACCACGGACAGGGCCCCTCTCCTTCCTCCTCCTGCCCCACCTTTCAGGTCTGGGCTTTTTGGCAAGCACCAGGCACTGCAGTAGCTGCCAGTGCCAAATTTTGACCTCTACACACACACACACACACACACACACACACACACACACACACACCCCACCAGTGGCCTTGTTTATGTCATCTCTCTCCTCTCCCTCGTGCATGGAGCTGGGGGCTGGATCCCTGGATTCTAGGAGGTGAGGGGTGAGCTCAGCAGAGGAAGAAGGCACCAGAGTTAGCTGCTGGTTGGAAAGGGGGCCTGACAGGTGTAGGGTGGGAGGAGGCAGGGGAGGAAGCGACATTCAGAACCTGCAATACAATAGGCTGGAAAGCCCAGGAGCTGCTTTGAGAATCCCGTTTGATCCTTATTCCTTCCCCTGCTAGTTCTGACCTTTAAGGACAGGACATGGATAAATTTATCCCTGGGTGTTGAGTTGCAGCTATTGCAGTTAACTTGCTCAGCCCCAAGTGAAGGGCTTGGGGACCACTGAAGGAGTCCCCTAGAAGATCTCAGGGGTCACATATACACACAAGCTGTGGGTACTTGGGCAAAGGGGGTCTCGTGGCACTTACTGGTCATCAATGATGTGCTTGCAGGAGGTGGAGACAATGTAGCCAGCTGTGGAGGCCATGACGGCCTGGACAGAGGATACTAGCCTAGGGAGGAAGAGGGGACAGTGGTAGAGGGAGTAGACACACCCCTTGGTTTCTTCTCTTTACTGTCCAATTACCATGCTCTGGACTTGGTTACTTCTCAGGTCACTCTCTGCCCATCTTTTCCCAAGGCTGCATTACCCAGAGTTCACCCCTAACCACCTCATGCACCTGAATTTTCCCAGCTGCCACCCCTCAGTTTACCCCACTCCTGGCTGCTAGCTTCCTTCCCTAAGTTGTGGACACTGAGTTGTCTTCCTCCCAGGACACGAGGGAAGTCATCCTGAGGCGAGGCAATGCTGGGAATGTGTGGCTGATAACAGCCCCTTCCCGGGGAGGGGCAGGACAGGGACAGCACAGGACCTGGGCCTGTTTTTGCATCACTCAGCTGCCCAGTCATCATACAGGTCATCAACTAGTCCCCCAGTGACCCCAAACACTCCCTGGCCACTTTCCCACTGTATCCTTACCTGCCACCATGCTCCCCTCCCCAACTCTGGCCCTCATTCCAGGATGGTACAGAGTTCTACCTTTCACTCCTCTGTCCCTTGTTCCCCCAAAACATGCCCTGAAAGATACACAGCTCTCTGTACCTTGCCTTGTTCCCTAATATATTGTAGGAATGTTTTAGTCACATGCTGTTCCTGTTTTGGAGGGTGGGAGGGTGAATGGGAAAAGGAAAGAAAAGCAGTCTGAATGCTAGTAGACCAGATGGCTGGGTTTGGATGAGGTCTCCTGGGACAGAGAGTAAGGCAGCGAGGAGGGAAGGAAGCTTGGAGGTAAAGCCCACTTATCCCTTCAGGAGCCCCCAGATCCCACCAGGGTCCAAGAAAGGACTGGGTCCCATTCATCCTCATATCGCCTGAGAAGGGGAGAGGGGCTGAGGGGAAGGGATGCGGTTTACCTGGCTGAGACAATGACCGCGTCGGCCTCCTCCCAGCGCAGCTGGGGCAACCGCTGGAGCGTGTTCTTGGAGAGGAGGAAGAGTCCAGGGAACACCACCCCCCCAGCCACCATTGGGGTCAGCATGGTGGCTCAAGCCTCAGGCAGGGAAGGGACAGGGAGACTGAGCTGAGGGGAGTTTGAGGTGAAGAAGAGACGCAAAGCCAGAGAAGGAGAGAGAAAAAGAGAGAGGGGCACAAAGGGGACAGGGCAGGAAGGGATGGGGCAGGGGAGTCAGACCAGAGGCAGGGGGAAAGGGAGTGAGATTAGGTGGGGAAAGGGGAGAGACCAGGGAGAGAGAGGGTCTGGAAAAGGAAGCAGGAGAAAGCCAGCAAGAGGGAGGGAGATGAGGAGGAGAGGACTTGGTAAGAGGACAGAGAGGGAGAGGGTACTGGAGGAGGAGGAAGATGCGGATGGGGGAGGGGAGGGAGAGACAAGGCAGGTGGGAGGGGGGCTTACGTGGAGTGGCTGGGAGGGCCCGAGGAGGCGGGGTGGGGGGTGAGGGTGGGATTGTGGTGCCAGCCCTGAAAGGCAGGGAGAGAGGGCGGGAGGGGAGAGAGACGGAGCAGCCACCGGGCAAGTGGTCAGCGGTCAGCTCTGCTCTCCCGCCTCTCGCTGCCGCCACAGTCCCCGCTGCCCCGCACTGACGCTGCATGGGGCATAATAGTTCTTGCCCAGCCCCTGCCCCCTCGATGAGAAGGGGGAGAGGGAGGAGGAGGGTAAGTCACCAGCTAGGGTAGGGCGGGGGAGGGGTGGGTAAATGATGGCACCGACCAGACACCAAGAAACCAGACCTGCAGTGGCGTCTCCCCATGCAGCTCTGAGCCACAGCAGCCGCTGCGACAGAGATGGGGGGGAGCAAAGAACAAGGGAGGGGGAGGCCCTTAAAGAGACAGCAGCTGCGGCGCAAGGGGCTGCTGGGGACTAGGGCCAGGGGAGGGGAGGCTCTTCTTTTGGGGTGGGAAGGTGGGCCAGAGTTCCTTGGCTAGCTGGGACAGGGCTCTGAGCCCCCAGATATGCCTGACCCTGTTTTCCACCAGCATTTTGCAAATGCCTCCCAACACGTGTCCTTCAGTGGCCTGCTGGGGGGCCAGCTTGGAGGGCCCACTCCTGCAAGGGATAGAGGATCCCCTGGAGGAAGGAGCAAGAGAAGGTGGTGCATCTTGCTGTCTCTGAAGGATTGTTTTAATGAATGGATAGGAATAAAAACACTCCAACACAGTGTCCTTCAGACTCAGAGCCCCCTGGCCTTCACCCAGTGGGAGGGGGTGAAACGCTAGGTACATATGTGCTGAGCCTCTAGGTCCTGACTCCTCTTCAAACTGCCTGTGATTTCATCTAGTGTTGCAGCATCACTGAGGTAATGGTTCTTGTCCCCTTTTTACAAGTCAAGAAATTGTCCCTAGGCCTTCAACGACACATAGTTACTAAGAGGCAGGAACCCTTTACTACTAGGTGTCAGATGGCTGCAGGGTTTGAAGAAGGTGGAGAAATGCTGCCTCTCAGAAAACTCACCCGAGGCCCCAGGATACTCCTGTCCCTGTCCTTCAGCTTCCTGGCCTCTCCTGGCCTCCCCCAAGCACTGGTCATTCTCTTTTTCTCCAGGTTTATTATGCCTCCTCCTCTGAGAGTTCACAGAACAGCCACGTTTCTGAGTTGGAAAGGACCTGGGATTGGCTGGTTCCATCCCTGCATTCAACCATAAGGAAACCAAGGTCTGGTGACTTGGCCACGGTCACATTGCTGGTCAGAAGCCTAGCCAGAAACAGACTGGTTTCTGCCTTGGTGCTGCCGTCCCATCCTGCACCCAGCAGTCCTGTGGACTTCTGCAGGACGTGGGACCTGCTACCCAAAACTCTGGTTTCCAGGCCTGCCCTTAAGATATGCCTCAGTAAGCAACCCTGCAACTTGCCTTTGCCTGTCTAAAGCCCATTCCAATTCTTCCCACTGAGTCAGAGCTGGATTTGCTATTGCACGCTGCCCTCTAGTGGCATGCTGCAGAAACAGACCCTAAAAGGTCTCTGGAGGTGGCAGGAGGTAGGGACAATTTTAGAGACAATAGTGGACCTAGCTTCCTGACTTCAGGGTTTCACTTAAGGGGAACCAATTTCCTGAACGTTTACTACGTTGCTCAGCACAGGGCAAGGTGATTTATGTTCATTCTTATTTAATCTTCTCAGTTGGTAGTATCCTTGTTTTACAGACAAGAAACTGAGGCTTAGAGATTTTTTTAAAAGACAAAAAACTTGCCCGGCCAGCGTGGCTCAGTGGTTGAGCTTCGACCCATGCACCAAAAGGTCACCAGTTCGATTCCAGGTGAGGAAACATGCCCAGGTTGTGGGCCAAATCCCCAGTGGGGGTCATGCAGGAGGTAGCCAATTGATGTCCTCTCTCATTGATGTTTCTATCTCTCTCTCTCTAATAATCAATAAAAGAAAAAAAGAAAAAAAACTTGCTCAAGATAAAACAGCGACGAGAATTGGCAAAGCTGGAGTTCAAACCCATGTTTGCACAACTCCAAAGCTAAAGGAGAGCAAAGCTTCGAAAAGGTACAGAGTTGGGGGGAGATGGGCAATGGCAGGCGACCATGGCTGCTCAGCTGAGGACCATACCCCTGGTCAAGGAGTTGCGGCTTCACTTTGGATGATGTTGGTTCAAGTAGGCAGCCCTGGCTGGTTTTCTCAGTGGTTAGAGCATTGCTCCTCAGGCCAAAGGGTTTCGGGTTTGATTCCCAGTCAAGGGCATGTACCTGGGTTGCAGGTTTGATCCTCAGCCGGGGAGGTAACCGATCAATGTATCTTTCTCACATTGATGTCTCTCTCTCTCTCCCTTCCTCCTTTCCTCCCACTCTAAAAATCAATGGAAAAATATCCTCAGGTGAGGATAAAAAAAAATAGGTAGGTAGGCAGAGACAGTTTTTTTTGTCTTCCAGGAACTCACCTTGACACCAGGTAAATTCTGCCCTCCTGCCCTCTCCTCTCCTACCTAAGGTGTTTTTTTTGTGTGTGTGCCTCTAGCGGGAACTGAACCTGGGACTCTCTGGCCCGCAGTTCGATGCTCCAACCACTGAGCCAAACCGCCCAGAGCCCTACCTAAGGTTTGATGATAACTCCATGTATATTAAGCTTTGTCAAATAGGTCATAAATTCACAGCACAAGGACCCAATCCAGCCTACAAACATGTTTTGTTTGGCCAATATGGTATTGCCAATATAGTAATTTCTTAAATTCGAAGTTAATTGTCAGTGTTTGAAAATAAGGAGCTTCCACCTAGAAGTTCCACTTCTTTTAAGAAAGAATCAGAAGATCACAACATTGGGTTCACATTCTAACTCCACAATGTTTGGCTGGAGCTGAGCAGCTGCCGCCCTCATTCAGCAGGATGAACGTGAGTGCTCCACCTCATGAAGTCTCAACAAAGTTCCTGGTGTTACTTGCAGGAAGTTGCAACCCCTACTTTATAAACACAAATCACCTGACCCTCAAACAGGATCTCCATGAAGAATGGAAGGTGGGTATTATTAAATCCATTTATAAATGAGGACTCCAAAGTTCAGAGATGCTAAATGAATTGCATGATATTCTACAGCCAGTGTTTTTTGACTATTGAATCTCTCCACCCCACCCCACCCTTAACACACACACACACACACACACACACACACACACACACACTGCTTCTGCTCTCACCACTAATCCTTTTTGAAGGTAGATCAGCTCCACCAGCCCTGGCCCCAGGAAGGATGCCCTCACCCTGTCCTCTTACTTGGATGCCACCAAAACAGCCTCTGGTCTCTCCATCTGCAGGCTGGAGTGGTTCTGCAGGCCCCAGCAGAGGAGAGCAAAGAGCAACGGGAAGAAGATGCAGCCCATCACAAAGAGCAGGGCCATGCCTGTCTGGGGTAAAGAAGGTGAGAAAAGATGGCCGTGAGAACGCCTTAGCACAGTGTCCTCAGACTCAGAGACCCCGTCACCTTAATAACCCAAATGGCTCATGGGGTCCATCCATCTGTAATCATCAAAAGCCACCAGGCATAGCTCTTCCCTAATCTCTTTGGGATCCGTACTGTACTTTAATATTCCTCGTTTAAGGCAAATGGATATCCTAGTTTTTGTTATCAACCCAATTCCAACAATTTCACTTTTCCTGTATTCCCTGAAGCTGCTTTACACCTCCTAGTGTATCTCATACCTTAAAATTCCTTCTCTTTCTCCTTCAACTCTGATGATGTGTGCAGTCTTCCTTAACTTCACCCAGGTCATTCCATCCTCTGCCCCCACCCCAAGCTCTTCATGACACCTCTCCCTTCTAGGTCCTCACCTCTGGGGGTCAAGGTGGAAGCTAGAGAGGGAGGCTGCCTCTCATCAGCACCCAGAATTCAAAAAAAGGAGGGGAGGGAGGTTCAAATTATAAGGATATTTAAAATTCAAAATTAATATTTCTTTAAAAGAAAAAAACCCGAAAGCATTATCCCATTAAAAAATAGAACCCTGAAAACATATATTTACATATATGTTATTTTTGTCTTGAAAAACCTCCCCTCCCATCCACTCCAGGGAGGGGAGGAGTGGGGAAGTCCCAAAAGGAATGTAAGGAGTGGGGGCCTGCCATCCTGCACCCCTTGGGTGTCTTTGAGGAGACCTCCTAAGGATACAAGGAAAGTGTCAAAACTGCAAAGGCACGAGGGCAAGACAGCTATACTAAGGCAGTTGGAGAGGGCGGGGACATCACTCTCTCATTGGTGGACTGGTGGAGGGTTTGGAACATGCCATCTTCCCATTGGCCCACCTCTTGATACATGTGCCCTATCATATGCTTTCTGGAGGAGGGGCCTGCTCTGGGGGGGAGGAACCGTCTCTTGCAGAATTGGCCAATTAAAATTTGCTGATGGCTTAATGGACAGCTTCATCTCAGGAGCATAGCTGAAAGAGAAGGAGGAGGAGGGAGGGCAAAATAAGAATAGGGAAAGGAACAAAATAGAACCGGAGGAATGGGTACTTAGAATAGACTGACAGAAGCTGAAGGGGAAGGCTGGGTGGGTGGGTGGGGGGACCGGATAAAATAAAGTGACTAGATTAGCCAGAGAACATATATTCATAGCCCATGGACACAAACAACAGTGTAGTGGAGGCGGGGGGTGGGGCTGGATGGAGGTGAGCAAAGGGAAGCGATGGGGGGCATCTGTCATAGTGTCAACAAT